TTGATTATTTTTGCACATTTGTATGGTAAAAAAGACGACAGGTAAAATAAAAAGTTTGGCAACAATATTCAACCTTTCCTCTTGAATTACTACCATTTTAAATATGTTTCTATCATTTCCTATGGTTAAAAATGCATACCTACCTCAAATTATTTCCTATACTGTATATGATTTTTGTACTAGAAATTGTACAATTTAAGCATTTAAAGTCACTCGAATTACTTTTCAAAATGTTAGAAGAATGCTGTATCAAAAATGAGATTTACTGTTTCTGGACACTAAACTTACCATCCCTTACTTAGAATAATTTTACATAGAAATTTACAAATCTTCATGAGATCTTTAATAAATAAAATATACACTAAATTGAAAGATATTATCATGAAACACCTTCAATCATTTAGATAATAATTTTTATTGTTATGGATCTTTTTATCTTTAACACTATAAACAGTTTTTTGTTTTTGAAGCTGTTTTCAAAAATATTCTTGCATTCAAGTAAAAATTCGATAAAAGGTCCATTTTCGTCATTTTTGAGCTTTTAGATGTGACGGCTAAAAGCTTTGATGGATCACAACATATGAGTTGACGTTTGAAAAAGGATAGGGCATCTAATTATGTTAAAATGTCATGTTAAATGTCAAGTTTCATGTAAATGTCACGTAAAATGTCAAGTTTTACGTCATACATCACGTAAAATGTCAAGCATTATCTCAAAACTCACGTATTGTGTCAAGAATAGAAAGAGTAACATAATCAATTGTTACATATTTATAAATATATATCATCTATACAAATATTCTTGAATGTGTTTCATTTCTTAAAAAAGTCAGTTATTATAATTTCTTTTGATGTTATTGGCATGTACTCTGCTGCACTCTATTAATTGTATGAGGTATACTTATGAACATGCTGATGAGATATTTAAATGTTGGGTTGAGTTTACCGAAAGTACAAGCTGAATATAGCCGCAAATGTCAAACATATTTCAGTTTGGCAGTGTTGGCATATGTAAGCTTTTAAAAAGTACATTTTGATTATACTATTTTATGAATTCTGCAATTTTTAATTTATATGAAGCAATAACTAGTAGATATTTGTCTCCTTCGAGATTAATTGCAAAAATCTGTTGTTATCTGGCAACTGCTGATTTGAGGATTGCCAAATCTATGCCCTACTCTATCAAAGGGTAATTCCTAAAAAAATTCTATTTTAACTGCAATTAATTTTCAAAGAAACAAATATTTACTCATTGTTGTTTTATATAAATCAAAAATTGCAGAATTTAAAACATAATATCAACAAAATGTACTTTTCTAAAGCTTTATCTTTTTATATTTGAAACATACAGCATCTATATTATAAAAACATGACAACACTGCTATACCGAACTTTTTTGTTCCATGTTTGACATGTGCGGCTATAATCAGCTTGTACTTTCGGTAAACTCAACCAAACGTTGTTTTTAAGTCGTCTATTCTCATGTCCTCATCCATTCAATATATAGATGTTTTTTTAGCTACTTCTGAGATTCTTCTCAATTGTTTATGTCGTTCACAATGAATTAACTGTTAGGATATCATTATAACTTATATGTTTCCTACAGTGCATAAGAATATACGCCAAAAACACAGAAATAAATTTAAAAAATATAAATTACATGAATTGAAAAAAACGTTTTTTATAATATTTAAACTAGAACTCAAATCGTATACTTTCATTTTAGATATGTTAAACATCTTTAAATCGTATACATAGGTTGATTTTATTAGAAAAATATTAATATTACAATTTCTTGATTTCCTTACAATCTATGTTTCGATTCCTTAACAAATCTCAAAAGGATCCAGTAGTTTTAAAATTTCAGTAGGTCAGTGCGAGAAGTTATGCCTAAAAAATATTTGTGTAGTTTGGGTAGGACCAAAGGGAAAATTTTAAATACAAATTTATACCGCACATAAAAAAATAAAAATAAAAAAGTGGGCTTAAAATTACAGTTTTCTTGGGAAATAATATTTAAAATAATTATTTAAAGTAACTAATTTCCAAACATCGATTTTTCACAGACTGTTCCAAATATTTTGTTCTTTTCTGTCAAAAGTCGGGTAGATAGGATTCGTCGGTTTTGTCTAAAGTCCATAATTTTTATCCATATAGAAGAACTAATACTGTCAGTTCTATATAGAATATTACAAACAGTTTGATATTTTTGTTTTTTGATATAGACGTTTGTTGTAAAAGTATTTAAATATACCTACTAGAATTGCAGCTAGGGTGGTTTCAGGTTGGTAAATGATCTAAAACTCCGAGTAATGTCCACTGTTTCTGACGAAATAGTAGGGGATTCTAGAAATAGAACTCAGCTTCTACCAGTAAGTTATACTTTTACGCCCCCGAAGGCTTTTGCTGCTAACCACTAAGTGTAAAGCGTACAATGGGTGAGAGTTATGTCGCAGATCACAAGGAGTGAAAGGCAAGCTTATGGCAACTAAAAACTGGAATCATATCGGCTAAAGGAATATACCATAACCATTGCCATTGGACAATGGTCCAGTAATTCGTTACCGTAAGAACTACAACGCCACGAAACCTTAACCCTAAGCAAATAAACGTAGACTACACACTCGGTACAACGAACGTCTTGACATTAAATAAACCAGGAGCACAGGCATCGCTTCAACTAGCTCCGAAACTAAATAGCTAGGACAAGGAATAAAAGACAATACTATATAGCGCAAAAGATAGCTAAAACAAAGAGTTCAAAGTGACCTTCATAGTTGAAAGAATATGTAAACTAAGAACAAAAACAAAATTCTTTAACTTCTTTATTATTAACATACACTGCCCGACAGAAGAACATAACATAGAAATAAAAGAGGAGTTTTACGAACAGCTAGAAGTATACGACAGTTCACCGAGAAATGATATCAAGATCATACTAGGAGATATGAATGCACAAATAGACAAAGAAGAACTTTTCTTATAAACCAGTGAAAAATACTCACTGCATCAAAATACCAATGAAAATGGACTAACCAACTTTGCCAGTAGAAAAAACATGATCATAACCTCGAATTTTTTCGCACACCGAGAGGAAAAGGAGCATATTGCGGATTTGACCCTCTCGTAGAACAGATAAAATATAGATGCAGAGTTCAGAGAAACAGGAGGGCAAACAGGAACAAAGAACAAAGAACCACTAGACATACAAAAATTGAGACAACAAGATATCAAACAGAACTATGAGACAAAATGATCACAAACAATGACAAATACAGGAGGTCTAGGTACCGAATAACATTGAGAACAAATCAAAACAAAAGTAATTGACGCATCAAGAAAGATCGTAGGCACAAAAAACAAAAAACAAAAAGAGAATGGTTCAATGGCAAGTCTACAGAGGCCATACAAAGAAGACAAGAAATACATGAATACAAGAACAAGAGAAAAAAGAGCAATCTACGGAGATACAAGATAGAGGGCTGACAAAATATGTCTAACAGAGAAAAAAAAAAGAAAATGGCAATATACAAATAAACAGATATAGAATCTAAATTAGGAAACCTAAAATATAGAACCTCTGACGATAAAAGAGGTGAACAAAGCAATACGAGCACAAAGGAATAACAAGGCTCCAGGTATTTACAACGTTCCCGTTAAACTATATAAATTAGGCGCCGAACACCTAAATGAAGGCACTTATAAACAAGATTTGGAACGATGAAAATATTTTTAACGACTGGAAAACCGGGATTATATACCCAATCTATAAAATGGGGATAAACTGAAATGTGAGAATTGTCTCGGCCTAACCCTCTTGTACACTGTGTACAAAGTTTTTACGTTCATACTCAACAAACAACTAAAAAACATGTGGAAATGTTTGAAAGAAAAGTTCCAAGGAAGATATTTTCATACCAACAAAAATGGAATATGGATCCAGGTACAACCATGAACTCTACCAACTGTTTAAAGAGCCGATCTCAGAATTCGTTAAACCTCACGATAAGATCTGCACTCAACCGGTATATTTTGAAGGAGATCAAGACTCCATTTGGGTTGTAGTATCATTGGAGAGAGAGAGAGAGAGAGAGAGAGAGAGAGAGAGAGAGAGAGAGAGAGAGAGAGAGAGAGAGAGAGAGAGAGATAGCACCTATTCACGGTTATGATCCGTCTTCTTATTTCTTCTGATGTGTTATTATTAGGGCCAATCCACATGCACAGATATAATTATGAACTCGCTAAACACTTCGAATTGACCGTTTTGGTCATTTGCGACCTCTCCAAATGCGTTTAACCGATATTTTTTTACCGCCAATACTTTATTTATCTTTCTTTTTATGCATTCTTTTTATTTTACTTTTCTCGAAAATCTGCCTATATTCAGTTTTTTTGGTAAACCATATTGAAAAATGTACTTTCAAGGGACATACCATATTATTCAGACAGTAAAAATACAGTAATAATAACCTGGCTAATTTCTGAATCCATTAATTGAACTACTACTGTAAGCAGTCCTCATACATACAATATAACCTCAAAAGAAATGAATGTATACCGTCCCACCAATGCGGCGAACCACGAAAATTACATAAATATTTAGAATACCGAACGATAGTTTCGATTAAATCAAACTAATATGTGAAATATTGGATATACTGGGTTTACTTAAATGATGGGGATGTCTATTGTTATATATTAGGTTTCGAAATAATATCATAGCAGGTAACAGTAACAATTAATTTTTGGCATAAATAATGCTGTATTATTTGCCAAGAAAATTATAAATTTCTAAATTATACTCACTTTCAATTTATCAATATAACATTTTGTTTGATAGATACACACTGAAATAAATTATCCTTACTAGATAAAAATCGTCTGACAATAATATACTTTTCATTGTGTTACGATCCATTTTTTTTGTACATAATATACATTTTTACAAATTTTGTTCGAAAGAGTCTATTTACATTTTTTTGTTTAGATTAATCACAGACTTAAACCATCCCTTTGGACATCATCCTAACGGTGTTCTTGAGAGCCTGTCGTTTGTTACAGAACCAAATTCGTATCACTTCTCGTTCATAGCCGAGCTGATGTGCTAGTCCTGTTATTTCGGTACCTAAAATATAATCAAAAGTTAAATTAACGATATTTCAGAAGAAATAAGAGCAAGAAGAAAGGGATAAAAGGAATTTAGAGAGAATATTAAGATACTTAAACGAGAGCATGAAGAATTGCAAGGAAAATATGCGAAATTAAAGATAGAAAAAAACGAAGATGGCAAAATTTTTAGATAAGAAAGAAAACAATAGTTTTACATCAAATAGAAAACATACTAGTAAATTTATGGATGAGCATCTGAACGTCTAAGTGATTTGACAACTGCCTAACAAACAATTAAGGAACAATCTACTGATTATCTAAACAATCTTATCTGCAACTGTTATTTTAACAAAGGGATTGTTATTAACTACACTTCACTTCACTTTAGTATTTGTTCACTCTAGATAGGTCATTAGGAACGAAACGTTTCAGCCGGCGTCTGGCAATTGAATGTTTGGGTGTCTACATAAGCGTAGGACATAGTTTTTGGAATAACTACTAAAAAAAACTCATTATTTTGAGGTCTTTAACAATATTGCAATTTAGGATGTACCATAGAGCGTTGGTAATTATCTTCTTCTTACGGTGCCTTATCCTTAAGGACGTTGGCCATTACATTTGCCCATTTAATCTTATTTGTAGGAGCCCTGAATAGTTCTATGGAGGTCATGTTCGTCCATTGCCGTAGGGTTTTAAGCCAGGAGTTGCGTCTTCTTCCTGGTCCTCTTTTGCTATTGACTTTGCCTTCTTCAATTCTTCATTTAATATTCAAAATATTGTGTTTGATATTTCGATGTTGAACCGAAGATGCACTTCACAGTGTAACTCCAGACAGGCTTTATAACTATCTTGTATATTAGGAGTTTATATTCCTGTGACAACGTTGATTTATGGCTCATGAGCCATTAGAGATTCTGTTGAGTGTGAGTCCCAGTTGCTTTCTTTTTGTAAAGATACGTTTTTTCCTTATGTCTTTTATCCGGGTGCAGAATTAGCTATTTGGTTTCTTCTTCTTGTGGAAGTTACTGATTGTTAAGAATGACTGGTGGACAGTTGTTTCTGTGGTTTGTGAACGTAACATGTACCGACTCACTACTTTCATTTACTTTGATACGCCATTTCTTTAGCCATTGCTGGAGCATTCTCTGGAGTCGACGTGAATCGATAATTGGCTATGGTGGAGTTTACTGTCATTAGCAGTGTATAAAAGGTACCTGATGGGCCCAAGTACACAGACCTGAGGAACTCAACTATTCTTCATACTGAGTCAAGAAGAATTGTCGGTTTTTGTAGGATGAATTAGAGGATCAGGAAATGGTTAACAGTTAACAGATAAGGTCTTGATCCTTTATCTTTTTTGTTACTCAATGTATTTGTTCGATGGTTGCGTGTTGCGTTCTAACTCCGAATTGATGATTGGAAATTATCTGGAAAGTTTTCAATATGGGTTCTATTTTTAGGAGCAAGAGCTTTTCAAGTAGTTTTCCTGGAATTTACAACAATCTATAGGAGGTAGCACTACTCAGAGGTTTCCCAGATTTCACTGTGGTTGAAAACCTAGTTAAATGGTTAGCAAAGGTTTCAGCCTTTTTCTGGTTAGGTCTGGCACACTTACAAATTCTTTTATGGATTAGGGGATTTGTAGTTTGACGCTACTATTTTTTAAAAAGTCACGAGTTCCCGTGATAAATATGCAAACGCATTATTAGAACTGCTACTATATGTTAGAGGAATAAAATTATTTACCTGACGGGTGGGTGTTCCTTTCAAAATGTGCATTCAAAAGTTCTAACGCCTGAGGTGTGAAAGAAGTTCGCCTTTTTCTTTTTTTCGAAGGTTCTATACCAATAAAATCTGTAAGATGGTTTTGGCCGCTTTTGTACCTAAAAAAAATTAAAGAGTTAATTTATCTATTTTATTCTCTCTCTCTCTCTCTCTCTCTCTCTCTCTCTATATATATATATATATATATATTTATATATATATCTATATATATATATATATATATATATATATATATATATATATATATATATATATATATATATATATATATATATGCTAATATTAGTATCATTCAGCAAAAGCTTGTTATTGCTCTGATGAAAATAAAAGACATTGAAGCACAAATTTGTCACACTTTACGCGTTTGAATCGGTATTAATAGAGCGATATAACAGTTTTTCCGTGTAGTCCCCACTGCTTCAGTCGACTCGGGCTTAATACCAATTCAAAATTGGAGGATTCAAGTAATGTCTCCAAAATACTTCCCACGTTAGTGGTTAGCGCACATTGGTGCCATTTGCTTTGGTGGAGAAGAACTAAAACAATTCAATACGAATACGATAACGGTGCGAAATGTCCGTCAAGGCGCTTGTGCTTCAGGATTTACCAGATATATGTTATGTTTACTCTACTCAAAGTTTTTTTTTTAATAAAATCTTTTAATGTTTTTTTCCTTCTAAATCTCTAACAATGGTGAAATAATTTTTTTCGAGTCGAAGGGTTATTTATTTAGTCTCACGTTATGTGTCAGCTACAAAATTACAGTAATAATTAAAATTACAGTTTAAAACTTTGCAAAACTAGAGGTAGGACTCTTAACAACAAACATATCTTATGCAAACTAGGTAAAAGTGGTTTAAAATTGTTAGGTTAAAGTTACCTACATGAATAAAACTAAAATTGTATGAACGCCTAAACTTCTATGAAGGAATGAAATCATAGCTCTACGAACTTCCATCAAAGAAGAGGGGGATGTATTTATTCAATTTTTTCATTTATGCTTTTTCTATCGATTCTGCCAACTATAGTTAATAATAATTCTAGTACCATTGTTTTTAATCCACGTTATTGTTCTTCTTCCAAGACCATGTTTATCTTGGATCTTTTCCAGTACGATTAAATGCAAAAGATCGTATTTTTGAAATTGTCTCATAATGTGACAGGATTATTTAAACTTGAATGTTTTATTGTGTTCACCAACTGCGTTATTTGGTTCATTCGTCTGAGATCTCTTCATTTTTCTGTCGAGATTACTTTTTCATTTTTACGTAAATTTATTTAATGCGTATAATATAGTAGTATAATGCAGTAGTAGCTGCTACTACTGCAGCTTCTTATAGAGGGGAAGGTAGAAGGAAAACGTGGTCCTGGTAGACGGCAGGCGTCCTGGTTGAAGAACATTCGTGAGTGGACTGGTTTGGATTCTCAATCTTTAATAAGAAAAGCCAGGGACAGAAATGATTTTGCTGAGGTTACGCCAACCTTCATTGAAGACGGCACCCAAAGAAGAAGCGTATAATATTCACTGACGTGCTGGATAGCCACTATTTTTGACGAAGTAAGTCTAAAATGTTATATAAAATTTTTTATCAACCATCAATTTCGAGTTTTTTCGAAGTTAACTAATTTTCTCTCACTTAAAAAAACGTTTCTTGGCTTATTTCAGATGCCCCTGAAGATGTTCTGAGAACTAAAGTACTCGGGCAAGATTTAATAAACACTGTGCTCGATATCTGCCTTTTATTTGTAACGTATTTTGTTTAAAATAAAAATAATACATAAATAAAAAAATACTTTATTTAATTTTAAAAATATTATTTAAATTTTAAAAATACAGAAAACAGAGTATGAAGCTTCCTGCTAGTCTACAGTACCGACTACTGTACCACCTTTTTTTAATTTCACGGGCTGAGTGATTTCTGTTTTTTATTTGTTGGTACACAAGTTCCCAATATTTTTTTTAAATTATCGGTCACATTTTGAATTTTTAGTTTGTTTTTGACATATATATATAGGTGGTACTTTGATGTATTAGCAATTTTGTGCCATAGAAAAAAAATTGATCAAATAATCAATAATTTCAAATGTTGACCGGAGAATTTAATGAGTCGAGTATGAACAAATAAAAAGAGACTGAGAAGATGTTAATGATAATGCACGCCCTGGATGCCGCAACTGATGGGATGGGGCATTAACTACAGAAAACGTTGGAAGGTAAAGAAATATTTTATTGCTGAAGTGGTCGATATATAGATTGGCTTATGCCATACAATTTTGTGGAACGTCATGGATATTGCGTTTTGATAATAAGCCAGCTCACACTTCATTGTTTATTAATAATTTTTGTGCTAAAACAGTACCGTCATTATTCTTCAGCCATCACATTTAACGAATTGGTCCCTTGCGACTTTTTTTTTAAGGAGATAAAAACCGATTTGCCAGAAGAACTCAAGAACGCAAGTGTATTATATCTTAGGGGGATTTCTTTAAAAAGGAGATAATAAATATTAATGAATAAATAAATTGTTTTCGATAGAAATATAAGTCACCTTTTTTAACAAAGCTTATACGTACGATAAGTACTTAGCCTCACCCCCGATAGAGCTACTGTCTCAAGGGAAATCTACTATCGTGTAATATATTCTCGTAGATAGCTAGTGTACAAATTTGAGCCGAATCAAAATCGTAGTTTTATTTTGACCGCTTGTGAAAGCAGTCGTGCCCACGGGTTTTAGAAAAATGGAAAAAGCAATATCGGTCGATGATTCGTTTCCTGTTTTTGAAAGGGAAATTACACAGAAAAATTAAAGAGCGCTTGAATAATGTGTAAAGTGACACTTCACCTTCGATGGCAACCGTCAATAATTGGTTTTTGAGTTTCAACGTGGTCGCATGATGGTTTTTGATAAGCTACGCCTCGGTGTCTCAAAAATGGCTACCATGGAGGATAATGTGATAACAATCTACGATGTCGTATTGGCATACCTCTGACTCAAGTTGCACGAGATAGGATAGTAGCCATCTCAAAAGACCGCATATACCATATCCTGCATGAAATTTTGGGCATGAGAATGCTGTCGGCGCAATTGGTGCTGCTTTGTTCATTTCGGACAATAAGCTCAACCGAGAAATCAATTCAATGCAGTGTTTAATGCTATTTGCATACCAGAACAAAGAACAGTAGAAACAGTGGATGACACCCGGCGAATCTGCTAAGAAGATGACCACAATTTTCTTTAATTTACAACGCGTGACCTACATCTGCTATCTGGAGAAGGGCCAAACGGTCACAGGGTTCTACTACGCCAAATTATTGGGTCGATTTGGCGAAGAAAAAAGGTCTCTTCCACCATGATAACGCACCTGACGGCTTCCGCCGTCGCCCAGTCTACCGTATTCTCCAGATTTGGCCCAGTGCGACTTTTCTTTGTTTTCAAACTTGAAAAACACTCGTCGAACAAATATTTAAGTCGAATGAGGAGGTCATCGCCGCCAGGAAGCCTACTTTGCAGACCTCTAGAAAACGTATTTTTCAGACGGGTTGAAGCAGTTCGGCTTCAGAATCGGCTGAAGAAGACAGGGAAGCATCATTGGGTCAAGTTTATCGAGCTAAAAGAAGACTATGTTGAGAAATAAATCCACTTTTCCAAAACTTTTATTTTTTCGTAGGCTAAGTACTTATCGAACCACTCTAGTATATCGAAATAATTTGAAATTTTAATAAAAAACTCTTACTCAACTGACCTGTCCTCGGCTTCTTTCATCCACCTTTCTAGAACCGGCTTGATTTTTTGAGCGCTCTTGGGTGTGATATCTAACTTTTCGAACCTAAACAAAACCAAAATTAAATATTAAGCTTTTTTTGTATAATTTTCTAGTATATTTTCGGCACAGGACACTAGCATACTAAGATTAACAGCTTAAAGTAGTTCAAATATTGAAGATGCCAGTGCCCTGGCCAATTCTTAACAAATTGCATCGTGAGTTTTAGCAACCAGTACCAAATTACCCATAGCAAAATTACACTAAGTAGTCAATCAAGATTTATTAGATCTTTAGTTATAAACTTTTATTCTGTTACACTTCTTTAAGTCTGCAATCTTGATTGAAGTGTAAGTTAAGTAAAGCAATAACGACGGTACTATTTTTAAATCCATACAGGTTATTGTTGTGAAAGAACGATTAAATCATATTTAAAAATTAAAACATATATACAAATATTTACTTATATATTAAATGATTTGTAAACATTCATATATCTTAGAAAACGGTGCATGTTTTGTTCCTAGACTTGTATTTGGTAATTTTTGCTTGGGTGATTTGTTTTTTTTTAGTAAAATTGGTTGCTATTTTGTTATAATGAGTCATAGCTAAGTTAACTGTAGAAAATAAATAGTAAAAACATACATTGCTTGCTGCTGAGTTGATAGTTGCGCTGCGGCAAACATCTGAGAAGCCAGGGCACTGGGAACAAACCATAAACCATTACTTACGTACTAAGAAACCTTTTACAGCTCGCTACAAGAAGTTTTATTTGTCTGAACTATGTTAATCTGGTGTTAACTGTTTATTACGTCATATTACCGGTGACTTCATATCAACTATCATGTCATGTAGCAGTTAGTTTTAAAAAATTTGAAACGATGACGAAAATATATATTGAGCCATACAAAAAATCGTAATGTAAGGAGGCTGTGCAATAAAAGTGTCATTGGTTGGAAGGTTAGTCACTTCCATAAAAGAATATATAATACCTATCCTAAATTGTTAAACATTTTTGCTTTCTTTAAAACACAAATTTAAAAAAAATATGTACGAAAAGTTTTGTGTGAGTCGTTTTGGTTACTTTTGTAGCATAAGCACGAGAGTTATTTTGTCAGGAATGAAGTACAAAAAAACTCCACGAGATGAAGTGAAATAAGAATTTAATTAATTGAGAATATAAAATCCAATGGATTTATTTGTATTTGTGTTAGAGTAGAGATTACTTTTGAGAATGGATTTGGCTATTGATTTAATTGATTATGTTCAAAAAATAGGACAAAAAGAATTACAACGTTAAAGGAGTTTTATCCATGGTCAATGGACTCCAAAATATTACAAAACCGCCGAGTGCTACGATTTAAATGGTTGAGTCTTTGAGAAAAATTTGGGTGAGTTCCATGCAGTTTTCGCACAACGACCCACGTCTACAGGAAAGTACAAAATTAAATTTCATATCGAAATATCAGCTTTTAAAGTCAACATCATTTTTCTACAAAAATATATTCAAAAAGCAAAGCAGAAAAAACACGAACACACGCTTTTTTCCCCATAACTTTTTTCCACGTGGTATAGCTATATTCATTACTTTACAAGAAAAATATTTTATCCTTTCTCTTCACAATAAAATTTGGTAAAAGTATTTAAGATTTACAGTGTCTCAGATACCATTTCTCAAATTTAGCTACTCATACCATTTTTTGACCATTGTTCGGGCTCTGGTAGGATCTTGTTCTGAGTTGTTCAATTCCATTCGGTGTATTCTTGTAAATTTCTTATTTATAAATGATAACGGATAATCATTTTTTAATAAAACATATGTCAATAAATGTTTCTCCTCTATAAACGAATTTTCTGAAGAAGAAATTGAAAAACCTGTTGATGTATGTTGGTTTTCTATACATCTGAGTCTTATATCCAGTATCCTTCTTGGAGATTTAAATATCCAGGAAAGGTATTGTGTTGTAATATTCCTTTTCCATGGTAAATGATATTGTCTCTTCTTTATCGTTTATATCATTCAGGAATGTGTCCTCCTATGAGGCTGCATTGAGAATACGTCATCTACATATCTCCATCATACTGTGGGTTTTACATTTTATTTGAAATAATATTTGTTTCAAAATCTTTCATAAATATATTGGCTAATAATGTATATAAACTAGAGCCCATTTATAGACCCACATTTTGTTCATAGAATTCATAATTTAGTTGAAAATATACATTATCAGTACATATTGTCAATAAGTCCATTATAGCTGATACATTTAGTACTGTTCTAGTTGCCAGTGTATCAGCATTCTTTAATTTTGTTTTGATTATTTTGAAAGTCTTATCTAATGGCACATTTTTAAATAAACCATTTATGTTAAAACCTACTTAAATATTATTTGGTTTAAATTAAATAGCCGATAATTTATTTAAAAAATGTTTAGTATTTTTTATAGATGTGTCATTTTAATTTGCAAATGATGGTATAATATTTAATAAAAATCTTGAGAGTTCACTACAAAGAGAATTCATGGTATTACAAATAGGTGTAAGTGGTGTGTTCGCTTTATGAAGTCTTGTTATAAGGGATATAACATTAATGTTCCTTTATAATTTGTTAATTAATCTTTAAACTTGAATAAAGTTCTATATATTCTGTTTTCCAAAGGCTTTGTTGGATCCTTTGTTAATTTTGTATAAGGTTCGTTTGTTATTAGATCTTTAATTTTGTTTTCATATTGAATTTTATACATTATCATAGTTGTTATCGCAGTCTTTAGTTTCTCTTTGCTTACGTTTTGTTTAATTTTATTAGACTTTCCCTATTTATTTTTACATAATACCTATAATCTTCTTTTTCGTGGGTTTGTAAATATTGAGATATTTTTTCTACTGCGCTAATTATTTCTAATATGGCACACATGGATAATTAACAGTGACAGTATTAAACTCTTCGTTGCATTTAAATGTCTATTTAATATATTGACAACTGTCGATAATATGTCAATATTTCTATTATGGTTATCTAAACTATGTATACCTTAGGCAATGATAGAGAGAAGACAGGTAACGTTCATTTAATAACCTTCGAAAAATGAAGCCAGTTTCGATGTGACCGTCATGTTTTCTGACTGTATGTTGCCCATTACTACCTCTCGCTGGGTTACGAGGTCTACTGATTTTTCAATAGATCTATTGATTTTAACTTCAATTTACTGATTTATTAAAACACTATATCGATCTACTAAAAAATATGATAAAATCATGTTTAAAAAGTTATCATTATGTCACTGTTCAATTATAGATACATTTAAAAAAATCTATTTATTGATATTGATTAAAAAGTGAATCTTCAATACTTACAATATGTCTTGTTCAAGAAATAAAAAATAAAAATATATTTTTTCCTCATGATTTACTATGGAATCACTAACAGGAGAATATTACTGTCATCATTGCATGTGGCACTCTTTTTAAAGACAAATGTGATGAGTATTTTAAGTAAAAGTTGATTTCATGCAATCGAATAAATTATCTTACAATCATTTTTTTAAAGTCGTCTACTTTAAAATGTATAATGTATGTCTGAATTGTCAATATGAACGAGTTAGATAAAATGAAATTAGAATATGTTTTCAATTAGTAATTGCATTTTCCATGTTGTGAACTGGAAGTGAATAAATGTTAATTACGCTAAATGTTAATTAAATTTACGTTGGAAACTTGATTTAAGAGCTCTTTGTTGTTATTCTGTCATCGAAAAGTACAAATATATTTTTTTAGGCGTATATTGTTAAACGACAATTTTATTACTTGTATTTTACAATTTTCACTTTTGCGATTAGCTATTTCTTCAAAAATACTTATTTAAAATAAAGGCCTGACCGAACTTTATATTGATATGTAAAACCATAAATGTCACGTCATTCAGCGCATGTTTTTCCACTACGTTTTTTCAATGGCTCCATAAAAATGTTGGAATTTATAGAAGTTAATTATAAAGTACGTACTTCTTGTAACGAGCTGTTTTGATTCTCTAGTTATATCAAGAATAGTGGTCTAGATAATTTTCGCTATAACTATATTTTTCGTAAACACACTTTTCAAAATATTAAGATAACCCCAGTGTTTTAAAGAAATTATATTTTTAGAATGATCTTTTATTTAAAATGATTAATCTATTAAGATTTTTTTTATGGAAAGGAGGTGTACAACCATCTATATCCCTGAAATGACTGAAAACAATTGCAAACTGTACGAAAACTACTGCTAGTTATAAAATTAGAACCTCTTATTTCTATCGCCGATTGAAACAGATGAAGACTTACTCACATCAACATCAGTAACTAGACACCAGGCATGGATACAGAGACAGTAGCAGGAATCCCTGTAAATTAATAAAGAGTCTGGCCTGAGTCAAGGTGGTGTAATACACCACGTCAATGTAATTCCAAATGAGATAGCTACACAGCTTCTACAGACAAACCACGTAAAGGACCACTAAGATCCCAAAACTATGGCGACAATATAAAGTGATAGCTGTATTAAAACCAGAAAAAGATCCAGAGGATCCAAAGAGTTAGCACCCTATCTCTCCCCTGTAATCATTCCAGCTCTACGAAAGATTTATATTGAATATAATCAATCCACACATATAATAAAATTTTATAGAGAAAGAGGCAGGCTTTAGAACATAAAGGTCAGATACTAGCCAAATGTTTAATCTTACCCAGTACATAGAGGACGGATATTAAAAGGAATTAAGTTGGAGAATAAGATTAAAAGGGCGTCGTATTCATCGATTTAACGGCCACCTCTCGAAGACTACTGAATAAAAGCAATGAAGTCTTCCAATCAATTTTGACTAACCGACGTTTTCATGTTAAATTACAGGGGAAAACGGTGCCTAAAAAAACGAAGTACCAAAAGAAGGAGTACCCGCAATATATAAACTAATGATATACCGATCGGTATAGCACCAATCAGCCCCTGGGCAGACTAGATTTGTGAAGTGCAGATTTACAAAAACAAATCCTTAATGTAAGAAACGCGGAAAAAGCCAGAGAATATCAGAT